CTAGCACAGTAGAACCACCAGCACCAATCAGGACAGCTGACGCATAGATACCATTACCAATATTGCGAAACCATAAAGAAGTACTAAATGCGATCACCATGAGAGCACCAAACATGTATGTTAACTACAAACAAACACATAAAAGACAATATTATTAATTAGTTGCATGTTAAGATCACTTTTACAAGTATATACCTTGCTATACATTACACATTCAATCAAGTCTAAATTGGAATCTATAATTTTGATTAGTGTGACAAACTTCTGTCAACCCAGAACCCCCCCCCCCCATAGACAGGTTTCTGTATACCCAGATACCCCCCCCCCCCACAAGGCAGGACTTTGTATAACCAGATACTCCAATATCACCCTGTCAACCTAGATACTCCAATATCACCCTGTCAACCTAGATACTCCAATATCACCCTGTCAACCTAGATACTCCAATATCACCCTGTCAACCTAGATACTCCACAAAAACTTATTTGACTATCCAGAAAAATCAATATGACCTGTATAACCAATGTCAACTCAGATTTTGATGAAGTGAATACTAATGATATCTTACCTTCCTGCCAATGAAAGCATTTATTAACTTCATAAATAATGACGTAAGGAAACCACTGATATATATAATAAGAGGAATAATGGCGATATAAATCTGAAAAGAAAAAAAAATGCTCAAAATCAATGTAAATTATTCATCCACCTTTATACAATCTTCCAGTGAACACATCACACAATTTTTGTTTTCTTTGTTATTGTATACTAGTTTGGACATTGAACGGCTAAGTGTTAATATTATATCCTGATATCTACATACCTTATCAAGATGAAGTGTATCATGTAGGAATAGAGGTATATACACCTGAGATATGTTAACCATAAGTCGTGTACACATGTACAATAAAGCAATCTGAAAAACATTGTGAAACCATTGGTACCTTTATCCTTTTACAAACAAGAAGATCAACTGAACATACCGGTAACATAATATACTATACACTTATCCATCTAATTCCCTACAATGTCAATATCCATTTGATTTAACCACCATATCTATAATAGTTTGATTTATATATTGTATTATTAACTAAAACAGCATCTGAACATTACTAGATAATAGTGATATGTAAATGTATTGATAGATTAATTGATTGATTTGCATGCTTGATTGATAGTTTTCTTATAATCTGTACATACTGTAATCGACTAGCTTAGCACCCATGCTCGGCTAAGCACCCCCTCTCCCTTTTGGGACATTCCTATTTTCATGTTGCTAAAATGACGACATGATTATAAATTTGCCATCCATTTGATTTAACCACCATATCTATAATAGTTTGATTTATATATTGTATTATTAACTAAAACAGCATCTGAACATTACTAGATAATAGTGATATGTAAATGTATTGATAGATTAATTGATTGATTTGCATGCTTGATTGATAGTTTTCTTATAATCTGTACATACTGTAATCGACTAGCTTAGCACCCATGCTCGGCTAAGCACCCCCTCTCCCTTTTGGGACATTCCTATTTTCATGTTGCTAAAATGACGACATGATTATAAATTTGCAATTAATTATCTGAAATAATACCGTAAGTCTAATTGTTGAAATCCTCAAATTGAGTACACTTATAGTACATACATTGGCTACTTATGTGAACCAGAGAAGACGGGATTGTCTTATCTGTTTTGGAAAAGTTTGAATTATATTGCCCTTAGCATGTAATTCTTGATATACTACCAACAATATTTCATGAATAAAAAGCTGTCTTGATGTGTACATGTGTGTATTAAACAAATAAAAGTATGTTTTGAGAATGATATAAAATTATAGACTGGTTGCTATGTGGTCATGGTGACTTTGTACCAAAAATACCATTTTATACTTGGAATACTACCTACCATGTTTGTTGGGCCACAGTTGGATGAAGTGAGTGGTTAATTGGGAATGTCCATTAAAAACTCAATTTAATTGTCACCAAAATGGAAGCATATTTCAAATAGGAACTAATTTGTTCAGGATTTGAATAAAATATAAGCTTTTTGACTTGTTGCTCTAGGCATGGTTGTTAGCTACACATTCAATTACTGAAGCTATTATGTAATTCAAAGTTGTTTTTTTTTGCTTTTTCTTACCCAGACAGTCTTGGCGAGATAGTGTTAAAATTTCTAAGCATTGTCATTGTTGGAACATACTCAAACATCAATTTTAAAATATAGGAAACCGAGGCACGCGTATGTGATTAAAAGTCCCGAAAGTTTGTTTGCGTTGCTCTTTGATTGACAAGTCACTGTTGATGTTATATGCAAATGATTGCTGGTCCCAGTTACGGAGCAGCCGGTGTGCGACTTCCTGTCCTGGCTCTCTGTTTACTTACCTCAAGCGCGATCAACTAGCAAACTACAAAAAAAAAAACAGACAAGACGTAGACGCTTCCAGCATGCAAGCGGAATGAAACAAAACATACACTTGTAAATGATAAGTAAACTTTTTCACCCTTAAATAAATTGATTTTTTATTTACCGGTATTTTCATGAAGGAGGTAGCGTCGATAGGGCGATTTAATTTTCGCGCAAAAGAAGGCCACAATTTCTTTTGTTTTCTTGGTGTATAGATTTCAAGCTTTTTCGCATTGTGGGCGAAACTAAAAAATGTTTCCACACATTTTTACTCTAACGGAATTTTAACACTGGAGTAAACATTTTTCACTTCGCTACAGCGAAGTGAAAAATGTTTACGATTATCGTGCTGATAGAATTGCTGATAGAATTGCGATGCAATCGACAAACAACACAGCTGTTGCTGTCATTGATAACTAACTTTTCAGTGTCAAAATACACATTGTCAAACATAAAATGCTCGGTTAATTAAAAATAGAAAAAAATACCCTGGGAATTACCAAAAAATAAGCAACGAGATGCTGTTTTTAAACACCACGAAAAAATCATGCACTCTGCGATGCCATCTTGGTTACCTTAATCGGAAACCCTCTTGTCAGCTAGCATGCACCGGTAGCGATGTCGCAAACTACGTTGTATGGTCGTGATCGGCGACCTCTGGTACTAAGGAACTCTATGAATGAGGTATTTCCAGAGGTCGGAGTTCGTTTAATTTGCATCGACCTGTCTCGTCTGTAGTTGAATGAAACCTGCCTCGATTTACAATAGTTCTCCTTCCAATGTGACTTCATTTCAAATTTGTTTCACCGGCGTTTGGGTGATTGAGTAGTAAAAATTGTGAATAGCCGTTGTGTAGTAAAATATTAGGACCCATTTCAACCTGGTCGTCTAACTTCGCACGGTCCACGGAAACTGCGTCATACAAAGTATTTTTTTAAAGGTTTTAAAGGTAAATTTAGACTCAACCCACCCAATTGCGATCGCTATGTTTATATAACTGTATGAATATGTCATCGGCTTTACGTAATCCATTGTGTCCCTCCCTCAGTGGAATTGATAACACGACGCCATGACAGTTTTCATGCAAGGTTGAGACTTCGTGGATGATTTTTCGTCCATTTCCCTCGAATTGTAAATATTTTTTATTTTTATTTTTTTACCTGACTATTTAACATCAGCAAATTACGGTGTATGGTGTATTTCTAGGAGTTTATGTTACACATATGAAGCGAATGGTTTGTTTTAAAACATTTTTTTTTACAAAATGGCGATTATCTCAGTTTCATTTTTGCTCAAAATTTCAACTTTAAAACTATTTAACTTCTAGACGGTTCATTTGTTTTCAATGAAATTTTCAGGGGTCATTATTCAGGTCTATCCTAAGTAAATGGCTTCGTATGGTTTCACTGTCTTTACTGGAACAGAAACAATAGAGCTGCCAATTAGCGGCTATGTTAACTGTGAACGATTTATAAAATGTGAATGTTTCAAAGAGCACTGTGTAAAAACTGTTCAATGGAAACACTAATAAATAAGCCATTATGTTCCTAGTAAACAGAAGTTTTAAATAAGTGTTTTTAAATTAAAATCAGGGTATGCATTCAAAAGTTAAATAGTTTTAAGTGCACTTTCACCTAAAAAGTATGATTTTAACCCAAAATCAACATCACTTAATAATATGGTATCATAGTACATTATTGTAAACCATAAAACTCAAAAGTTTAAATAAAACTCTTTCAAATGATATATAACTTGAAGGGTAAAAATTATATTTTACTCATGTAATTACAGTAATTAGAGGCAATTAGAAATATAGTCTCCCAACCTGCATCTCTACCTTATCAATTATTTCAATATACATGTACTTATATGTATGCTAATAAATTCAGTGCATGCATCACAAGTTTGTCTTTAAGAAAAAAACATTACATGTATTGTGGGGATACTCACAAGATAAAACTGTGGCTCAATCAGCCAACTTTTCCAGCTCATTTGACGTTGTTCTGACAAATGACCATTGATAAGATGTGTAGACTCTTGTAACGCCCGCCCAGGATTCTCTTTAGTTCCAATGTGAAATATGGAAGAGAATACAATTCCTGTACCAATCACAATAGCTGATAATTTCTGGAGGGAAAAACATAGTTAAACTTGTTGACATCATAAACGTATGGTAGGAATGACCTCTTTTGAAATAATGCCAGTTGTAATAATAAAATATTATTTTGCCTATCCTTGTATTTTTGAAAAAAAAATTGGAAAAAATATGAAAATCAAAAAAAGCTTAGTGAGAACTCTTATGTGGTATTGGAGACATGAAATTTTTAATTCATTTTGAATATTACATAATATTAAAAGTGAATCAAATTACTCATTCATTCAATAAACGGTTTTATTCCTCATTTCTTGGCATATCTAATTGATGTTGTACATTATTTGTGAGTGTGTGGCAGAATTGAAAACCAAAGTTTTGTGTTAAATACTTACTGTAAATGTTGGGATATCATCTGGTGAAAGAGACTGTTCTGTGTCATTAGCCGGTATGGAACCAGAAAATAAATCTAATAAAAACCATGTAAGGCCGTACACAAATATATTGGCTATCACAGTGAAGGCATACCTATGAACACAACATCAATTTGAGTTTAGTAAATCTGAGAGGATTTACATGTAGGTATGATAAAATAATAAACCTACAAAGAAGGTATATATATATATTATATATATGTATAATATCAAAGCAATCAGACTTGCAGTTTTCAAGAATAAGTAAAAAATATCACTTTTTACTAAAAATGACAAAAATATTCATCAAAATTAGAGAATTAAAGATATCATCACGAAATGAAAAAAACCTGAGATTGGTCCACAAGAAATACCCATATGTATAATATTAAAACAGACTTGCGTTTTTAAAAAAGAAGTCGAAAATATCACTTTCACCAAAAATTGTTACCTGTAGTAACTACATGTATACGTATAATATCAAAGCAATCGGACAAGCAGTTTTTACTAAAAATGACAAAAAGATTCCTCAAAATCAGAATTAAAGATATCATCACAAAATGAAAAAAATCTGACAGGGGTCTACCCAAAATACACCAGGTTATAGTTTTTGAGAAAAAGTTGCAAAAGTAAAAAGTTGATTCAAACGACAGACGTCAATGGGTGACAGCGGACAATCACTCATATGATAAGCTCTGCTTGACAAAGTCGACAGTGTAGCTAAAAAAGTCAGGCCTATAAATTATAGGTATTTTCTGAAAGAGTTTTATTTGAAAATTGCTATCATTGTCCAATATAATGTGCATCTTACCTGATGGCATTTAATTCAACTCTTGTACTTTCATTTGGTGAGAGTTCAGGAATGAGTGCTAGATGTGAAATCTGAGTAGACGCCCAGCCAAATTGAAATATAGCAACAAAAGGTGCGTAGTAAATAAATCGTGCCCAATCAGGTGAATCATTACAAGTAATGCAGGGATTGAATAAAAACGGAAAACTAACAGCAACACAAATAGTACCTGCAAAACAAAGATTGGGTTAATAGATAGTAATTTATGACTTATCATTATGTCACCATAAGGTATAGCATATGTAGTAATTTTGTGGTATTGCACAGAGTATCTATAGCTTACCATATTAGGAAACGAGAATTCCAAATAAGATTTAATTATGGGATATTTTCAGAATGGCTGACACTTTTTAAAATATGTATGATACATGTATTTCAAATAACAGCTATAATCACAAACTCCAAATAGATCCCTGTGTTCGAACAACTTACCCAAAAGATGCCATGTTTTTCTCTTTCCATAAAACCTTGTTGACGTTTTATCTGATTCGTAGCCAACAAGAGGTGTACTTATAGCATCAACAATTTGGCCCAATAACATTAAATTGCCTGCCATAGAATTACTAAAACAAAACAAAAATCAAAGAATTCTGAAAAAGTTAGAACTGTACTGTGCTTGAGAGTATTGGAAACATGAAATAGATAAGGAATAAAAATGTCACATTGACATTTACAAAAGAGGGCTTATTGCGGAGAAAGACATAGTTCAACAATCAACATTCTGACACATGTATTGTTGCCGTATTCCTGTAGTGGATGGGTTGAAATAATTTTGACTTTGACAAATTTTGCATCACTGAGCAAATTTACTGCACATATGTGCAATGCATTGTGGGAGAGAACATCCCACTGATTATAACTGAAAACTATAATACTGAAAACTCACTAAATATCTCAACATTTTGAAAATGTTTTCACAATATTTATATAAACAGATTTATATAAATAATTTATTCATAATACTGTAGGCCTCCGGCCTCAAGGTATACTCATTGTAATTACATAACATGTTACAGAGGACAATGTCATTTTACAGTGACTGAAAAAGAACAAGAAAATATGAAAAGATCATGAACTGTCAGACCAAAATAATTGTATTACGTTTTTTTGTGGCAAGAAAAATAAATTTAGAAATGTTACGCAAGATTACTGCATTTTGTAATTGTAATAGCGATATAAATTTTTCAGGTGAGGGAAGTGTATAATAATAACTTGGGATGTATTTAGATCTCAACTCTTGGTAAAACGGACAGATAATGCAAAAATGGTACTCGTTCTCTACACAATTGGTATTACATAAAATACAAACTTTTTCTGTGCGTGTATTATGGAATTTTCTATCAGTTTCAATACGTAGACAATGGGCAGAAATTCTTAGGCGACACAATGCTTCCCTGTAACAGTCTTTTTGGATTTATATAAACAATAGATTTTCACCATGTGTCACTGTTAAAATTTTGAGATGTGAAGAAATAATCTGACCATAGAAACTACGCAAAAATGCAAAATTTGACCATCTTTGCCCCATGAGATGATCTCCCTAGAGCATAGAACAAACGCCTCCCACTATGTATTTTTTATGAACAATAGAGCTTAAGTATAACAATAAAGACAATAGGCAAATGACAGAATCTATTGTAATGTTAAAATGCTGACCTCCTCTTACCTGAAAGATAGGACAGTGTGAAAATAAATAAGTAAATAACTGAACCATAAAGAGGCACACAAGTCGTTCTGTACATGACCAACACCATAGGCGTATCGCTTTAATATTGGTAACCTATCCATGCTTTATATGAATGTTGATTTGCTGATTCAGATCTAGAAATAAACAGAATTAAAAATATTACATCATTATAAATTGAACCAGTAAATGGTGGATATATTTTCAATTTGAAGGTAAGATAATATGACAAAACTTTCAAACCACTTGATTATGATTACGTTAAAATCATGTTTCAATCCTAGGTGTGGTATAACTATCTCTTGATCATAAACAGGTACATCTAGTCACCAATCTGATAATATTCATAGCATGATGCAATGGTTGTATCGCCTAAGACAGCTATTTGGACTTTGAAATTCAAACGTAAAAAATACAGAAGCATGAATGCTGTGCTCATTTACTGTTGTTCTAAATGTTACAGTGTCTGGATATTCAGTGGAACAAGTTTTTTTTATTCAATATGTTGCAAAATTGCATTTGGAATTCTAAATCTACAGGTACCATCGTGCTACCAATTACATTAAAAATTAACAGTGATTCCCTTTAAATCTAGTGTGTCTAGCTACCAGTGTAAATAAAAGATACCTCATGATTGCAGTGCAGCATTTCCCAGTTTGGCTTTTTACCCCAAAATTCCAACTTACAATATATTACATATAGTTATAGATGCTATATTACATATAGCATCACAGAATAATTTGGTGCAAATTTGACATAGCATCACAAAATAATTTGGATTTTTTAATTAAACTAGGGTACAAGATTATGGTGGTCATCATAATGCCATCATGTTTGATATGGTCTTATGTATAAACATATGCATTTCAAATACAAATGTTTTTATTTAAAAAAACAAAGGCACTAAGAAGATATGAAAGACGTGAACATCTGGAAAAAACAGCAATTGACTGCCCCCCCCCCCACACACACACATTCAGACACGCTCTCATACTGTCTTAGTACAAAAAAAGAGTATTTCTAGAAATTTGTGTTTTAATTTGTGATCAATCCACATGATCATACATCATATTATTATCCTACTTGATATGCATAATAAAAACACACTTTTGAGTTGCATTGTAGCTCAACTGTTAGATGGAGAAATAGTAATCTTAAAGAATGTTTTTATTTATGACAGCTTTAAAAATTTTCACAACTTTACATAATTTTTTTTATTCTTAGAAATTGATATTCAGAGTCTGTTATTAACTATGCATAATCTGAAAGTAACTTGCGAACCAAAAATCCAAATAGTGTCTTAGAAGCACATCTCCAATGAAAGACGTGTAAACCAAGATTGCATTCATTATATACAAAGTCTTTAAAATATACTTTATTTTGACCATAGACACACGTCTGTTATTTACAGAAATGCTACTAATAGAGCAAATACAGTAATTAGATAAGTACTAGTTGTTACAGCTTTCTGATTTCTTCACTACACTACACTACACTACACTACACTACATGAAATTGATTCAACAGTTGAAAAACTAGAGAATTTTAGTTTTGAATAAAATATTGCTCAGTATAGCAATAGGTAAAAATGGTTATTACTGTAATCCCCCCCCCCCCAAAAAAAAAAAATTGAAATTTTTACATCTCAAAGTAAATAAATGGATACCAGTAGTTGACAGCTGTTTTCATAACTATTAAAACAGTTCTGATTTGATTACTTGAATTGTGGTCCTCAATAAAACTCATGTGAGAAAGCGTTACAGCAATTCCAGGCACTGATTTGACGCTGAAGTAGTGCTAGATGTAGATAACATTCTACAATAGATTACACACTTTGTTTTCACATATACATAAGTTGTTAAAAATAACGCAGACAACATGTCTGCAATTTCAAGCACATCAGAAGGAAGCTCCACCCATAAAAGTGGCAGTACATTAGTTTTGAATTTCTCCTCCAATAAACGATTGAGGCTCTCAATTTGCATCCACATCCCCTCAACAAGGGACTGTGTTGCGTAACATGTTATTTCAGTGAGAGGGGCACATAAAGTTGCAGCACTGTAAAGAACGTTAGTTATTTTACAGAACCAGCTGACCGACTGATCATTGCAGAATTGTTGATCAAAGTGCATTAATTCCTACTATGGAAATATCCGTATCACGCCATTCCATATAACTGAAAGGTGCCTGTAACAAATGTCCTATGAAGACTTCGTCCAGTATATCAATAATGAAGTTGAATACATAAGTAGAATGGGTGTTATTCGATTATTAATCTTGACGATGTACCACCAAATAATTGGTTTAAACAGCTTATCACTAGAAACAAGTCACAAGTCAGGGTAGGGTTCTTGTTTTTGTTGAATTTCCCATTCGTAAATGCTCGGTCTCTACGTTTTATAATATTCAACATAGTCTATAACTTTCTCAGTTAGTTTTTTAGTCGCAGATTGGGCGCTCTTGCGCTTTCCTGGCAGGATACCCTCGGTGGTAACAAACCGTTTGAAAATATTATATATTTACTATATTTTATGGTATTTGTATTTCTTTGTATTTATGTTCCTTACCATACAAAAACCCTCTAAAGGTTTTTAGTAGTGTGTTTGATCTACGATCTCCACGAAAATACAAATCGACAACTTTTGTTCTCATTCAACTGGTTTTGCGACTCCTTGCTTCTCCATCGATTGCGGTGTTTAAACAACATGGACAAATGCTGATTTGTAGACACGTCTTTTTTATTTATTTTATTTATTTATTAACACTTACTCACTCCCTGGAGTGAGTGGCAATGGTTACAGATAATAGTAAAAGTATACAGTATTAATGTATTAATACACTAATAAGGAATAAAAAAAAAAAAATAAAAAAAATAAAAATAAACTAAACTACAAAAACAGAATATTAATGGAGAAATAAAAATAATAAAACAAAATTTGTCTAATTTCAAAGCACTTGTTGATATACTGTGCTACCTGGATAACAATACTATCATTATTTAACAGTGCAGTGAACTGTTCTTCAGGAGGCAGGTTGTGAAAGGAGTCAATCACATCAGCCGCCGTATCAAACAGAACACTGCATCTATTTCTGTATTTGGGACACTCCACCATAAAATGAAATTCATTTTCAATGGTATCTTGGTTACACATGTCACAAACCCTGTTACTGAGTGGAGTACATATATATTGAATTTAAATGTTCTGTAAGTTCTGAGTTTGTTTTTTCCCTCAGACTTTTCACGAATATCACTATGGATTTCTTCTTTCCAATGGGATGTAAATTTATGTTTGAGGGTGGACTTGATATTTATTTCTGCTGAAGTTAATTTATCGCTTTTTATAAATTAAACATTCCTGTTTGATATTCTTCAGCAAGTCTGTAATTTCAAAATAACACTTAGTTTTTAGGCTTTTATTAACTGAAAAAGCTTCTTTAAGAAAAACATTTTTGGTATTTTGAATGCGGTTGTAATATTTTATTAATTGATTTTTAATAAATATATCCAAAGGGTATCTCCCTAACTCGCTGTAAATTCCCATAATTGGGGTTCTTTGGGAAACTTGAAGGAGATATCGACAGTATTGAACATTAATGTCCTCAACTGGTGATTTGGATGAGAACTCGTCACCCCATACATCACTACCATAAACAAGTATCGGTTGTATTAGTTTGTCAAAAAGCGATAGTGACAAGGTGATGGACAATCATTCCTCTGATTTGCAACCGATGTTTATATTTCTAGTTACAACTTATGTATATGTGAAAACAAAGTGTGTAACCTATTGTAGAATGTTATCTACATCTAGCACTACTTCAGCGTCAAATCAGTGCCTGGAATTGCTGTTTAAATTGTACATAGCACATAGCACATACCGGTATGTGTATGATAGAAGTAGTCACTACCATAAACAAGTATCGGTCGTATTAGTTTGTCAAAAAGCGATAGTGACAAGGTGATGGACAATCATTCCTCTGATTTGCAACTGATGTTTATATTTCTAGTTACAACTTATGTATATGTGAAAACAAAGTGTGTAACCTATTGTAGAATGTTATCTACATCTAGCACTACTTCAGCGTCAAATCAGTGCCTAGAATTGCTGTTTAAATTGTACATAGCACATAGCACATACCGGTATGTGTATGATAGAAGTAGTTGCATATTAAAACAGGTAAGAGATTTACTTTAACAAAATGGAAAGTAGGTTACCGGTATTGTTTTAAAGGGGCGTGTATATCAGCACTTTCCAAGCACTATAAGGGGCCGACCATTATAAACTGTGGCAAGATCGAGAGATGCTACACGTACTGTGGTGTTCATTTGTTTCACTTAGTTATTATGAGCTGACTGTTGAAATGTGTGATTTTTTTCAAGATTTTCGAAGTACAGAATTATTTTGCTCAACATGTTCAACTCCACACATACTACCAACTACCGTATGTGTCCGATACGAGTTCCGATATGCCGTCTCGATCTTGTAGACAACGGTTGAGTCTCGTTACAGCTCCCTGGTGACAGTGACACCGAGTACACAAGCACACATCCCAAACTAGTAAGATATTACTAGTCTGAGATATTTGCAAGGTAACACCCGCTGAGAGCAGTTCATGGTGGTAATTAAAGTCTATTTGCTTACCATATTGCCGGCTTCACCACGACGAGAGTCAAAACACTTCCAACCCTGACAAAACATTATCATGTGATTGGTTATAACAGGGGGGCGCACTCCTAATAACTGTGGGCGAATAAGCTTCCATACATTACTACATGTAGTATACAGTGAATCACGTACAGCTTTACGCTTTGTGACCTCTGAACAGTAGATTACATCCTCATTCATAACTATGTGATTGTGTACGTGTAATCATACGTTCATTTAATAGATAAAACCACGCAACAAATAAGCTAAGAGTGACATCCCGTATGAGTACCAGGTCATTGACCGACAGATCAGCTGACTTCAATCTTTTTGGCTATGATGTCACCTGAAAACAAACGAACACCTTAAACTTAAGTTGTCGCAAGTATTTCGACCCATTAAATAGGGTGAACATTTTATCACAATATTTTGTTTCAAAAATGCTACTTATGAATTTGGATATATGCCATCACCTTTTGGGGATTTTACCAGTCACATTCATTTAAAACAAATTGTGTTACAAAATTTTAATACAATTTTAATAGGAATCTATGCATTATTTCATGTAAAATAAATAGTATTTTCCCATGTATCACCGAACGGTATATTCAGATATGACGTGACCCTTTCTCTATAAACAACCTCAAAAAACAACTAGCACAACTCAGGTCAAGAGGCAGTGGTACACAATAATGGTAAAATGCACAAAACCATGAAAGGAAATAAATATAAGAAAAATGTTATTACACAAAACATAATGACAATTGGACACTGGAACTCACATGGATTACGTTATAATTACATTCCAAAAATATCACAAAACATAGACACTAAAACAAAACAGTTATTATCACATCTATGCCTTTACAGAAACGTGGCTAGACCAGAAATCAATTGATTTAATTCCAACACCAGAAGAATACTATGTTCATCACACAATTCGCAGGCAACATCGTAAAGCATGGAAAAACTCTGGTGGTATAAGTATGTATATAAAGAAATCAATAAGACCTGGTATTACTGTGATACAGCCATTTTACACAATGGTTAAATCTTATAAGAGATATTTATTTATGCACGGTGTATGTCCCACCAGCTGATTCCTCATGGTATGTGAATAACATAGACATGAACCCTTACCAGACTATTGAACAAGAAATACAAAATTACAAAGAGAAAGGTACAATAATGATACAAGGCGATTTTAATGCCAGAACTAAAAAAAATATTGACACAATAACATATGATGAGGACAATTATACTCCAATGCCAGACAATTATATTTATGATAATGATATGAAAAAAAGAAACAATATGGACACAAGAAAACATACTTTTGGAGATCACCTTATACAACTATGTAAAAGTAATCAACTACATATATTGAATGGTAGATATAATGGTGACATACTTGGTCACTTTACTTGTCATGCGGACAATGGAGGTGCCAGCACTGTTGATTACTTTCTAGCTGACAATAGATTAAGTAAATTTATTTTGAACGTTAAAGTCAAAACATTAGTACCAGGAAGTGACCACTGTCCAATATCAACAACAATACAAATGCCAACATTTACAGAAACAAAGTTTAACATGAACAAAAACCTGCAAAATCACACAGGAAGCTATTAATGGACGAAGTCAGCAACAGATATTTACAAGATATTTCTTAAAACAAAAGAAGGGGAACAATTAATAAAGTCATTTACAGAAACTGATTTTACAAAAAAACACCAAAAATTTCAAAATTTATTAGAAAACATTGCCAAAAAATGTAACATAAAAAGACAAAACACAGAAAAAACATTAAGAAAAGTAAAGTAAAATGCACTGACTCAAACTGTATGAAAATGAAGAAAGAAACTAGAAACTATTGCTAAGCACATACAACGTAGACCTTAGGACGAGAACTTGAGAAAAGTATATCACGAAGAAAGAAAACTATTCAGAAAATATGTCAAAACACTTTCAAAGGAAAGATGGCAAATGATGAAACAAAAATTAGACTACCTGGATAATGGAGAAAACACAGTGAAATTTTGGGAGGTAATAAGACAATACACAAAGAGAAAACAAGACAGCATTGTGTCTGAAATACCATACAATGATGGGATAAACCATTTCCAGAATATCAGTCAAAATACTAGTACTTCAGAAAAGAGTCAATCAGAAATACAGAAACTATTAATGGAATTAGAAAATATGAATTCACTGAATAATATGTTGAACGCTGAAATATCACTTAAAGAAATCAATGAAGTTTTGAAAAAGATAAAAACAAGAAAATCAGTTGGAATTGATGGCATCCCATCTGAAATGCTAAAGCATAGCCATCCATTAATAGGAGAAGCATTACCAAAGATTTTTAATATTTTACAAAAGGGAGAATATCCAGATTGTTGGAACACAAATATAATCACACCAGTACATAAAAAAGACGACAAATATGACCCGGTCAATTACAGAGGCATATCAACAAGTAACACAATTGGAAAATTATTTGCAATAATTTTAAATAAACGTACAACACATCATCTTAAAACCAGCAACATTACCCATAAAAACCAAGCCAGTTTTAGACGCAATCACAGAACAACTGATCATATACTGACATTACATACACTGATCAAAAAATACCAATAAAAAAACAAGAAGCCTTGTACACTTTCTTTATAGACTTAAAAAAATGTTTTGATACAGTTTGGAGAGGGGGACTATTCATAAAATTATTACAAAATAATATATGTGGTGATACATATCGAGTCCTAAAACATATGTATATGAATGTCATTCAAAATTAAATTAGATGACAAAGTGACCAAGAGCTTTAAAATGCAAGGTGTCAAATAAGGGTGTCCATTGAGCCCAACATTATTTAACATTTTTATAAACGACTTGGTAGCCAACATTGATAACTGTACAATGAATAGTCCAAACCTAAATAGTCAAAACATCTCTTCACTTCTATTCGCTGATGATATTGTTCTAACAGCTATGAACAAAGAAGACTTACAAAGGTCATAAGACACACTTTATGAATATACAAAACAATGGGGTTTACTGTTGAATACGAGAAAAACAAAAAATATGATTTTCACTAAAAATGGTAATAAAATACAGAATTCTCATATGGGCTAAACACAATTGAGAAAACAAACCAATTCACATATCTATGGGTAACATTTAATACAAATGAGGCAATGAAAATGACCATGGAAAGATTGGTAGATAAAGCAAAAAAGCTGATGCAGCAATCAAACCAGTATTAACATTAAATAAGTTAAACATGCTTTTACAATTGAAATTATCTGAGGGAATCAATGGCAGACTGGAGTACTGGGACAAAATGTGTACGGAAAAATGGAAATTGAACGACTACCATTACTAGCGAAAATTCAACTGAATGCAATCATATACTACCAAAATATTATAAAGAATGGTCCAATCAGTCTAGTATATGATGCAATAAAAGATCAACAACAAAACAAATATAATGACACTTGGTTAATGAATCTGCATAAAATAAAACAACTGTATGATATTAAGAATTTAGAAACAATTAAGAAAGGCCAGTTTAAACAAAAAGTGATTGAATATTACAATTATAAATGGAACCAAGATAATCAAAGACCAGATTCAAAACTAAAAACTTATACCTTACTGAAGAAAAATATAAATACTAAACCATACATTAAAATCCTTGATAATAAAGAAAACATTGGTCTATTAGCAAAATTGAGACTCGGTGCCCTTAGACTAAACATCGAGATGGGAAAGCACAAAAACCCAATAATAAAAACAGAGGACAGAAAATGTGCTAAATGCAACTTCATTACATCACAAAATGTAAACTTTACACAGATGAAAGAGGGTTGTTATATTCACATTTTTCAAAGAAAATTAACAATTTTTAACACTGTACAAACAAAGACAAATTCATTCATATTTTGAATACAAACAACAAATATTTACTAACAGAGCTTGTCAAATTTATAAAAACAGCAAATACCATTAGAGAAAACCACCTAATTGGTCATTAATAATTTTTTTACATTATTACATGTAACTGTAATGTAGTAGATTTTAGATATCTAACTTGTTATGTTTATTTTAACACCTTTATTACGTTTTATAAACCAAAATAGATATGTAATTCATTCTATAAGGTTGTAATAAAGAATTATTTTA